TAAAACTTCATATCTTTTGAAACTTGAACTTAATGTGATCATTAAAACCATATCTACTTTATAAAAACTTCAATCCATGTATTACACAGAGAATTAGCCACATCCCAACAGATACTGTTAATATAAAGACAGAAAAGATGTTCCTGTTCATTCTGTTCATTAACGACTAAAACTTAATAAGCCACCAATTCCATTGCTTAACAAGATGGAGGTTCATTAAATCCAAATCTCCACTGTAAACACTGGAATCCATGAATTAGACTGAGCCACACTTCTCCGGATTTACCCTGATCCCTGGGGTAATTTAGACAGAGCTCGTTAAAGCCCAACATGTTTGTAGATGTCTATTAAAATCCTGAAAACAGAAGAGGAGAGGAGGAGAGGAGGGAAGAGGAGTAATGGAGGGGAACGAGAGGAAGAAAGACAACAAGGAGAGGAAACAAATGGAGGAAATAAAGAAAGGGAACAAGGAGATAAAACAAGGAGAGGAATGAATGAGGGAAACATGGGAAGAAAATGAATTCAAACAAAGATTAAACTAAACCTTTGTGAACAGAAACAACTGTTCAGATGAATGTGAGTTTGTTTTTATAAACTTGAGTTGAAAGAACGAGTCACATGGTGTCGCAGTCACGTGTTCAAGCGCTGCTGTTTCCATAAGAAAAGAACAAATGTTTTTTTTTTATAGGAGAAGCAACGGTTTCTGACTGACGTCCTCCATGAGGTGATGCTAGTGGACGGCTTGAGCTCCTCCCACCCGATCTCCCAGGAGGTGGAACAAGCGACGGACATCAACCGAGTCTTCGACTGGATCGCCTACAAAAAGGTGAGAACCAGAAAAAGAGCGAAGTGACGAAGAACTCATCCTCGTGAAATAATTAAACTCATCGTCAAGTCTAAGGGAACGTTTGATTTTAAGTGTTTCTCTAAAGGTGCGATCGCGAGGCTAAAAAATCTTGAGCATAAAAATAGTCAGTCATAAGTACGTAAGCAACACAAACGTTTCATTTCAATAAAAGTATTTTACAAAAAAAGCTAAGTTGCTTCTCGTGCCAGAAAAAAAATCCTACAGGGAAATGAATGTATTTATAATTTATATCTATGTTGGCTGAATAACACAGAGCATGATAAGCATTAACAACAATAACATCACAGACAAACCACGGTGCCGAGTTTACGCTCGGAGATTTCCCCACATGCATAAACATTCTTTCCACAAAAAAAAAAAAGAGATAAACTTATTCCAATTACTTGCACCACAGAAAGTCGCAGCTGATGCCAGGGACACAGAGGAAAGGATCCAAGTGCAGATGCCAGAGGCAGCGCTAATGGCTCAGTGAATTTATTTACAAAGAGAGAAACAAAGCTTTACGGGATGACGAGGAAGACGAGGGTCAGAGCAGGAGGATGAAATTCAAACAGGCGAGGATCCAGAAAAACACAGGCAGGAATCCAAAGTCCGATAAACAGGAAGGAGAAAGTGCAGGAAGCCGGAAACAAGGAACCTTGAAGACTGAACACAGGAAGAGGGAACAGAGTGAGGAGAGAAGACAGACGATTGAAGAAGGAGGGACAGTCTGACCTCAGGTGGGTGAACCCGATGAAGGGGGTCGACTCTTTCCCATTGCCAGCAGAGGAGTCAGCCTTTATGATTTTTTTTCCCAGGGTGCATCATCTCTCGCCTCGTTGTCTTGATAAATTATTGCATTCAACCTGAGTGACGTCTCCATCGCTGCCAGTCTGAGCCAGTACAAATAAAACATGTCCATACGGCTAAGCTAAGCTAAGCTAACTTGCTTGTCTGGGTTCAATAAAACCAACAAACCAGCTCCAGGGATGAAACAACACAAGCGTAACGCAAATACGTGCGTGGAAATAATTATCGCATGTGACTGTTCCAAACTAGCTGCTGCTAACTGCTGCTACCTCCCCTAGCTGCAGCAGCTAGCAGCAGTTAGCAGCGTAACCTGCTAACAAACCATAATTTCCTGGTCACCAGAACAACAGTTTAACTCTCTGATCCACTGTAAGTGATTTATTTGTGAATGACAGTCGAGCGAGAGGAGGTTTGACCTGCTGTTGTTTCTCTGTGCCGTCTGCAGGGGGCAGCGCTGATCCGGATGCTGGCGAACGTGATGGGACAGCCGCTGTTCCAGAGGGGCCTCAACGTAAGTTCATGTGGTCGCGTGGGTCCAGATGTGGACACAGAGGTTCACACGTCTCTGAGGACGACAGGGAGAAGCTGCGGCTGGGCTTTAAAACTGTCCGCAACACGTGTGTGTGTGTGTGTGTGTGTGTGTGTGTGTGTGTGTGTGTGTGTGTGTGTTGTCATCCTTTGGCTGCACGCTCACTGGAACACGCTGAACTCAGATTGGCAGCACAGAAGCAGATTTGGCTGCAGGGGAAGTTTGAGAGGCTGTTTTTTTTTCTCTGCTGTAAAAATCTCAGATTTGATTTAATGAATCAGAACTGTAGGAAATGTTTCCGTCTCCTTCGTCAGCTCCTCTTCTTCACCCCGAGATTTATTTGTGTTCCTCCAGTCTCACGTATGTTCCAGACACTTTCCCGCTGCAGTAAAAGTTCTGGTTTAGACTCGGGGACGTTTGCGCTCAGGTCTGAAAACAGCTTCGTTGTGACGGCAGCGAAACATGAAATAATAAAACGTCAGTGTAATGAGGAACCATAAGTTTGTTATTGTCTGAGTCAGTTTATTCTGGGACACGTTCACAGAGAAATTAAACCAAATGGATCCGTGGCGGCGCGGCTCAGCGCTGGCTGTTACACAAAGTGTTGAATCAGGAACCAGAGCACAAAGAGAAGATGCTGTAAAACTCTGTAATAATTGAAATGTTTCCTGTTTTTTAAAGCAGAGCAGACGTGAGTTAGTTAAACTGCGTTAACCACACTGACAGACCGAGCTGCATTATTTAACGGCTGCTAACGACGTCTCTGATGGTTAATGTCTCAGGAACATCACAGACACAACATCTGAAAAAATCAACTCGAGTCAGTTTAGCATTTTATTTTCCGGCGAAGAAAGAAACTGCTTTTATCAGCAGAACGGAAATAAATCAGTTTGGATTTGAATTGAAGATGAAGTTTTACTCTGAAATAACAGTTATTGAAATAATCCTGAACACAAACACAGAGTGGTTCACTGTGTCCTGGTTTCACTGCAGGAACCGTCAGTGACCTGAAACACTCGGAGAACCAGAGTCTATATAAAAACACTGCTGATGCAGCAAAGCTGTGTGTGTGTGTGTGTGTGTGTGTGTGTGTGGCTGTGTGTGTGTGTGTGTGTGTGTGTGTGTGTGTGTGTGTGTGTGTGTGTGTGTTTCACCAGAAAAAGAAGAAAAGAGGTTTTAAACTCATTCTGCTTCATTTCTTCTCTTGAATTTATATAAATATATGTTTTAACCGGTCACACAGGAGTACAAGAGGCTTCACTACTAACAAGTACTTTTAATTTCATTATTAACTTAAGAAAAGTTAATGTGGTACTTTTTACTTTTACTTGAGTACACTTTTGTCTATTCATGTTTACTTTAACCTCAGTAAAATGTTCGAGTACTTCCTCCTCCACGCTTCAGATTGAAGTTTGTTCACCTCAGTGCTCAGTGTTAAACGACACATGAGGAAGCCCCCCCCCCCCCCCCCCCCCCATAGAAAACTCTGGAGACACGAGGTCAAAGTTCACGTCACAAAGAGGAAAACACTCTGATATCACGTTATCGAGCCAGAAATCCTTCATGTTAACGCTGAGCAGCTGCAGATGTTTAAAACAGATTTGTTTCAGTGAAAAGATTATCTCACACACACACACACACACACACACACACACACACATTTACGCTGAACGTTCGTTATCAGTGGAAACAGTTTGGTTTAACTTTATCACGCTGTTAAACTGTGTGTGTGTGTTTATCTCTGTTCATGTCAGGTGGAGAGAAGGTGACACACACACACACACACACACACACACACACAGACACACACTCTCTGTTGGTGTTCCGTCTTATCGTTCTCTTCTCTCTGCCTCTTTCTTGTGTCGTTACGAGCTGAACCAACCTCCCGATGCTTTGACACTCGCTCCATCCTCTGCTCGGGGAATGAGTTTTCTTCTTCTTCTTCTCCTCCTGACACTGGAGACAGACGGAGATCAAACCAGACACAACCGTCAGCGGCGAATCGTCAACACACCGCTAAGCCTCCTTTTGAACCGGCACATTCTCTCTTCACTCTTCACTTTGTTCATTAGCTCGGGAAATATAACTCGGAGTTTAGAAGCCGGAGCGAGGATCGCGTCCAAAGCTCTTTAGAGTCAACACAGACGATAAGCTCTGCACGAGGCCGGTTCTTCATGTCCGTCATGTTTGATTCCAACAGTCACACGACACTGAACGATCTGTTTTGCTCAGGAGATTATATTCGTCTGTTTGTAGGTTTCAGCTGGATTATACAAAAACTACTAAACCAATTTCCACCAGACTCGACGGAGGGTTGATAACTTTTGCTGTGGAGGCAGATGTGATCAATCACGGAAGTTGTCAGAACACTTCTGTTTGTCTTTTATATTCATCCTGTCAGAATCAAACATGTTCTGGGAGCTCAGGTCTTGTTGGAGGGATACACTGTCCTGTACTGCATTTCTTAATCTTCTGAGGTTTTGCAGATACGTACGTTGTTGTATCTTAAATTTACAACTTAGTGGATAATTGGATTAATTGATTTTCTACATGCGTGATTTAATTTAATCCATTTTATCCATTTTCAGAAACATAAGACCAGTCAGAGCTTCGACGGCTGATGAATAATACGCTCATGATTCACCAGCCCAGTGAACTACTTGCTTAGATTCACATATTTCTTTAATCATTAATCGTTCCTCAGCCACAGAGGAACTGAAAATGAGACGAAAAAATAAAAGTAGAGCTCACGCGTCCACCGAGGTCGAACATGATCTAGTTCAGGTTTAGTTCTGATCGTGGAAATAAAGGAAGTGGTTTGATTTTGAATTTGAATAAAAAATGTGTAAGTCTTCATGAATCTGGATTCAGGTGCAATGAATGCATCGTGTGGCGTCTACCTGCTGATGTCATTTCCTGTCACAGGCTCTTCCTGACGTGTCGTCTGTTGTTGTTTTGCAGGATTACCTGCTGAGTCACATGTACAGCAACGCAGCCAGAGACGACCTGTGGAACAAACTCTCTCAGGTAACGTTGGTGCCTTGCTCAAGAGCAGGGATTCAAACCTGTATCTGTTCCTCCTTCGACCCCCGGGTAAAAAAAAAAAAAAAAAGAGAATCCAGGCTGGTCATTCTTCGTTAAGATGAGAGGGTGAACGTCTTGTTGCTAAGGTGACATGAGTGACAGGCGGAGGCGAGGCTTGATGCTTGTTTTGCTCCGCTGTGAGATAGTTGCTTTAATTAGCTTCTTCGTTAGCGCTGTTCGTTATATTTAATTAGCTGCCGTGCAATCAGATCTTTAATTCACGGAAGGTTGTTCTCTAAAGTGATTCAGAAACAAAACTGACAAACCTCTTACCAGCTCATTGATGAGGTGATGGGATGAAAGCCTCATTGATAATCTAACGAGTCACTGATCAATCAGTGGAAATGATTATTGGTCATTAATTATTTATATGATGTGTCCAGGCCATGCGTTCAGAGGGGCGGGACATTGACATCGGAGAGATGATGGACAGGTGGACTCTACAAATGGGCTACCCCGTCATCACCATCACCAAGAACCAATCAGAGCAGCTCCCTACTCATTACATCACCGTCAGCCAGGAGCACTTCCTGTACGGAGAGGAAGTCAGGAGCAACAACAGGTGGGTGTGAAGCAGCTCGTCACATATCAGTGACCTTTGACCTTAAAGACGAGTTCAAGAGCAGTCTGACAATCCAGTGATTTATGAAGAAAAAACTAAACTAAGGAGAACGTTTATTTAATTGATCTATAAATATATAAATATAATATAATATAAATAATATAATATAAATATAAATATAGCTGTATATTTGATTTACTATAAAGATCAGGTAACTTGTTTTAACCACAGGATCAGAAATTGTCGATACATTTCTGTGCCAGTTGATTCCGTGGTTTAACCGCAGGTTCAACAGGTCACGACTTCAGGGACCAAAGTTGAATTCGACATCACACAGGTACGGACCGGAGAACAGGAAACACTGTGACCTCACAGGATGACCTCATGAGCTCAGCGTCAGCGTAACGTTTCCTGCGAACACATCTGTCGGCTGCAGCGTCTGGGGGACTCCCTCGGTGTGAAGCGCTCCCCCTGCAGCTCAGTCTCGCTCCTCACCGAGCGCTCACTCTGTCCTCTCGGCGATCGCGCTGCCCTTTTTTCCTGAAAAAGCACTTTTCCGGTTTTCGTCAGATTCTTCACCTCCTTTTCATCATTTGTGTTTCATCCATATTTTATTCGCTGGATGTTTTATTCACATTCTTCACAACCTCTGGAGTTTATTCTCTTCGCTGTTTTATCGACCCACTTTCTCCTCCATCAATATTTCACCCGCTCTTTCCCTCCTTTTCTTTTACCTGTTGTTCACTTCTTTTCTTTCCTCTTTTCTCGTCACTTCTTTCTCTCTTTACTTTTTGTCATGTTTTTGTTATGTGACTGACGTTTACAACCCCTCTGACCTCCTCTGTGCCTCAAACTTTCCTTACCTTTTTTATATTTTTATTAATTCATGTTCCTCTCCTCCTCCTCCTCCTCTGTTCTTCTTCTTTCATCCTCAGTCTTTTGTGTTTCTCTCTCGCTCCTCTGCACAGAGTCGCTCCCGAGGTCTTGTCAGCTGATGAACCAGTTTGTTTTTAGGTGGAGTTCAACTCTTTGTTTTTTGCCCTTGTTTGGTCTCGTGGGGCTGCGTTCAGACGCACTCGACGGTCCCGAGGTGTTCGGCAACACTTGTTGTAGAGAAAGAAACTGGTTGTGCTGTTAGCTGAGCCGTCGTCTCGGCTGAACGTCGGATCGAATCAGAGGCCGACGCTGCTGTTTGATCCTGCAGAGCTGCGTTCAGAAGCACAGCAGAGTCCCGCAGTGTTACACGCTGTTGACTCAAACTACAGGAAAATACAGGCTTCTTAGAAACCAACTGAAATCTACTGTAATGAACAGAAACATCAGCGGATGAGCGAACACTCGGGTCTAAGAGGAGGAGACGGTTCAACAGTTGTCGGACTGAGTGAACAGTTACAGTCTTTGTCGTGTGTGTGTTGAATATAAAATGTTATTCAGTTGAATGAACGGAGGCTCGAGGTTTTGTCTTTGTTTCTCTCGTGGAGTTCAGGTTGTTATTAGGTCAAAGTTTTGACGGATGGATAGAATCACCTGCTACCGACTTCCTGTTTAATTAATGCATCAAGTTTAAACAATCATCAAACTCATTTTTGAAGAATCGTTTGTTTCCACGTTTGTGACACTTGTTCTCAAATGTCTGACGGAGTCGTTCTTCCCTTGAAGAAAGTCTGGTGGGAAAAGAAGCTTTTTATAAAAGTTTTATTAAACTTTCTGTTTGACTTCAGCTGTTAAGGTGACATTTTAAAGATCACACTTTACTTTTAGTCAAACACTTTACATTCTTCTCTTCTTCCACTTCTCAGGCTGTTTGAGACTCTTTAAACGTGCGGCTCTTTTTTTCTTTTTTCCGCCGTCAAACAGAAACAGACGGAGGAAACAAGTGCTTGTAAAAGAACTGAGGTGACAGAGAGAGAGAGAGAGAGAGAGAGAGAGAGAGAGAGGAGAAGCAGAGGACGGCTCTCAACATAAGGTCGAGCTAATGATATTGAAAATAAATCAAACAGGATCTCAGACTTTAAACACATCACAGCTGCAGGTAAACAGATCATGTTTTGTTTCTGTTAGATTTAATGAGCTTTAACGTTAAACAGGACGCCGATAAATTATTTATGAGTCGACACAAAGGGTGAGAAGTTTATTTCTGTACTGTGTCAAAAGTCACACAAACATTTGAGTTCTAATTCAAATGAATTAGAATTACTGCGCTGACGGAGTCTGTTTTTAAATCATCCTCTCAAAACTTGATTTTACACAATTCCTTTCTTTGCCGAGGTCACACAACACAACTACACGACTACACAACTACACAATGAATGGAAGTGAAAGCAATGTCCTAACAAGGAGAGCTGTGTGTGTGTGTGCGTGCGTGTGTGTGTGTGTGAGTCAATGATTTATTCATCAGAGGCAGAAACCAGCCTTAACACACACACACAGTTGTCTAAAATAAACATTCTTCATGTCAATCAAATATTAATAAACACATTCTGCTGTCCGTGTTGCTCTGAGTGTATGTGTGTGTGTGTGTGTGCGCGTGTGTGTGTGCATGTGTGTGTGTGTGTATGTGTGTGTGTAGCTGCCAATCACCTTGTTATAAATATCAGATTCCGTTGCTAGGCAGTGATATTGATCGAAGGTTGCCCAGAGCGACAAATGACTATTATGGGCCTGGTAGATGGTCTTTATGTGGCTGATTGTGTTACAATGACCCTGACCCCTCTAAACACACACACACACAGACACACACACACACACACACACACACACACACTAATACATTCTCTTGGAAGTGGCACCTTCTCTTTAGCTCCAACTAAAACCTTCAGAGACTCATTCTGATTCAATTGATTCATATTTCAATTAGACTGGATTTTAATTACAGACAAACACACTTCAATCAGTCCATTTACAGAGGAAGTGTGTGTGTGTGTGTGTGTGTGAGTGTGTGTGTGTGTGTGTGTGTGTGTCTGTGTGTGTTCGTATCAAACAACATATTAGATGTGAGGTCTCAGATTGTTCTGTAGTCGTGCGGTTTGTGTTAGAATTTAAATCTGTATTCTGCGGAGCTGCGTTCCTCAGAAATCATTTACCTCCTTAAATGTCAGCCGCTGAAAAACATCCGCGTCTGAGCCGATGCCATTTTGAGATAATCTAATTGGTTTTTAAGAGGTTTTATGAGCCTGATGGGTTTGTGGGACTCAGTCGTGCGGTAAAGCATCAGTTGTGTGTCTGAGGAGAAGATGTAAGAATCACACGCCTCTGACTGGACGACACGTTTAACCTCTCGCTCTCTGAAAAACACCCGGAGCCACTTGACTGATGTTCGCTGCTGCCATTACACTCTCCCTCTCCCTCTCTCTCTCTCTCTCTCTATTACGCAGTGAGTGTCGCTCGCTCCATTTGCAGCCGACTCATGTTGAGTGATCATTCCTCTCTCTCTCACTCTCCCTCTCTCTGTCTAATGTCTCTCTATCTGATAAGTGAGGCAATAAAACCTGATTCGATTCCGCTGACCGTCCCTGACATCACTCTCTCGCTCTGTAGTTTACAGTGGCAGGTCCCTCTGACGGTCGCCGTGGGAAACACGTCCACCATGAGTTCAGAGAGACTCATCTGGATCAACAACAGGACAGGTAGACATTATTATCATGTCGGTGATCTTCACCATCAGGATTCAATCATCTCATTAACCAACTTCTACATTGTTTTCTTCACATTCTCATGATCACATGTTAATGAGCTCGTTATCTGCACATGTGATCTGAAGTTAATCCACTATATTATTATGAATATCAGAATATTTTATACTTTTTAACTTTAATTTTAATTGAAAGTAAAACAATTGGAAGAATAAAGCTTCGTCTGCTTCTGTTTTTCTACAACAAAAACATATTGTTCTGTTATTGGGAAATGAAGCTTGGTTCTTTGTTGAGTTAGTGCACGACCGCTGTGTCTGCGTCTGGTTCTGGCGAATAAAACTTTAGTTCTTTAAATAAAACTCTGTTTCATTCAGTTCAGAGTTTTATAATAAAATAAAGAAAGTTTTGTTTCTGATTTGGAATAAAATCTAATTATTTCTCCCCGGTCATTTTTTTTGATTAAAAAAAACAAAAAAAACTTGCTTGTTCTTTTTTTCCAACTTATTCTTAAGTTTTTGTTCGACCTCATCTTCCAGTTGTAAAAGAAAAGACGTCACATTAAAAAGTCCTGATTTTATAAAGTGTGGTGTCATCTGAAATTCTGACGATCGACTGACTCGTTCGTTTCGTCTCAGAGATGCACAGGATCGGTCAGATGGACGACAGCACTTGGTTGCTTGGCAACATAAACCAGACGGGCTACTTCCGTGTGAACTACGACCTCCAGAACTGGAAACTGCTGATTCAGCAGCTCCACCACAACCCTGAAGTACGACCGGTTCGCCCGAGGAACTCCTTCCTTCCTTAACTCTGATTCTGTTTTTCATCTTCGCCTCTTTTTTCATCTTTTCCTAGATCATCTCGGTAGGAAACAGGGCGGGGCTTATCGATGACGCCTTTAACCTGGCCAGGTGAGTCTTGACTTCTTCTTCTCTTGACCATCATGCGTGCAGTTGAACTTCCTGTCCCTTGTTGAGGCTTCACAGTGAAACGGAGAGTGATGTGTTGAACACGATCTCACACAAACGAACACGCAGTTTACTTTTAGTGCGCGGGCGGTGCCCTTAACGACCGACAGGTTTTTAAACTTGTGAGATTGGCTTCAGAGGAAGTGGGACGTGTTGTTGGCACAGCCTGATGTGAGACAAGTTTTTTTTTTCTTTCTCTCTGATTGGTTCATCTGTCACTTGTCAGACATCTGGACGAGCAGCGAGGCCGATCCACTGCGTCTGTTTGGGTTTGATTGTTTCCTAGAAGTCGTTTCTGTTTGTCGCGCTGACGTCTGTTTCTGTCTTTAATGGACTGATACGTTTCCGAGCCGTCGTCATCTGTTCAACAGAATCAACAGAGTCACAGGTTCGTACGTGTTTGTGAATTCATTTGTGCGCGAGGCCTCGGGGGTGGAGCTCGGCCAGCGGTGGATTCCTCCACCATCCTCAGCCGCCATGATCGGTGCGGCTCAGTGGCTCGGGGATTACCACTGTCGCCTCGCAGCAGACGCCCCCCCCCCTCCCCCCGAGTGAAGTTTGCATTATTGTGTTTGAATGCCTGTGCACGTTCAGAGCGAGCAGCTTTTCACTAAGCTTCACTTTAACTGAAATCATCCCAAACACTTGTTTCGGGTCTGATTGAAAGTCTGTGGTTATCGTTCTCACGCACGTGGGGAAAACTTAAGAGGAAAAAAAAAAAGGGCGTTTTGTGTTTTGTGTTTTCACCGAGGTTGTAAAGAAGGACGTCAATGCACAGGACTCCAGATGTTGATGTTTTCCAGAGGTTCTGTATGTGAGAACAAATGTCCGAGTCAGTAGCTCTGTGCATTTTGAGTGAGTCCGTGTGAGAAAACAGCAGGAAGACATCTGGAACCTTCGTGTCTCTGAGGTTTCTAACACGTGACGGACGTGAAACTGGAAGAACACAAATACCTCAGGATGAAGACGAGGAGCCGAACACGTAGAAGATGAAGACGTGAACTTGGAATGACGAGGAGATTCCAGATCTGGTGATGAGGGCCGACCCGGACAATCTGCTGCCGCCGCCTCACAAACACTAACCACACAAAGTTTCCAGAGGTCATGTGTGGAAACAGTTTCTCAGAGAGCACACTGACGTCACTTCTCTGTGATTGGTGCAGTGACGTGCAGGTTCATCGATGTTTCAAGTGGATTTTCAATAGAATATCTTTGACATTTGTGTCCGACTCATTACCTCAGCATTTCTAAAAACCGGCTGCGCTCACAAATCAATCATTTTAAATTTGGCTGAAAAATGACTCAAAAAACAGCGACAGCAGCTGCAGCTTCACTTCACTCAGCTTGAATTCAGGTCAGGATCGTCACAATGGATGTGATTTTACAGCTCACAGATTTCTGTGCGGCTGTAAATTGACTGAAACTGATGGTGTCATCCTGGGGACGAAAACTCAGACTTGTGATTACAATATTTTTTTATTTGCGTGGTTTCATTATGAGTTAAACTTCTATTTTTTTTAAGCCTTTGTCTAAATTATATCTAAAATATCCAATTTGTAATGTTCTTCACTTTTGAGAGTCGTGCTGTTCTCAGAGTTCGTGGCCTGCGTTCACCTCGTGGCTGCAGATGAGGTGTATTTTACAGATATCTGACAGAATGACACGTGCGTCAGTCAGACACTCGTCTGCGCCGCTGTGCTCGGAGTCGACTCCCTTCGTCTGAATACTGTGAAAAGAGATTCAGAAAGCAGCCGAGCGCGACAGAACCTCTGTGATGAATGAAGCAGGCTGCAGCCGCAGAGGGCGGGAGCGGTGGAGGAGTGAGTGGTTTCTCATAATGACGTTTTCAGCCTGGAGCTTTTAGAGCTCTGTAACCAAAATCTACTCTGACACCAGCCCTATAACTCAATCTACGCCTCCTTTCTTTCTTCTGTATCTCCCTCGCTCAGCCATCTGTTTTCTGTCGTGCTGAATGAGCCGCGGCGCAGACAGCTGTGCTGCCATCCTCCGTTTGAGAGCGAGCGCTGATGAGCGAGGAGCTCGGCCGCACGAAAACTTCAGAAACATCCAGGTCTGAAAACTGGATGAGGTTCATCCATCAGAAAACATTTCCCCTGATCATCGTGATGTTTGAGTTTCAGTGTTCGGAGGAAAGAAACAAGAGAATCAGCTTCATCACTGAGAGGCTTCATTTTTTATTTCACTGAGAGAAAAGAGTCTGAAGAGTCATTAAATATGATGAAATGATTTATTAATACGATACGATCATACATACGTGTATTTATATACCTGGTTTGTGTTGTTGTTGTTAAATTGAGTCTGT